AAAACGACTAGTAAAGACGGACAAATTGTAAACGCGTTAGGTACCGGAGGAATTATCCACCAAACGCCGCCATTTTTAATTTCATTCGCGCGAGAGAATGCGTTTGTTTTTAGGGCAAAGTAGCCGATTTCATCCACAATTGGACTCCGAACTGGGAGTTCTGGATATATCTGGTAACCGATCATCATTTTTGGTACCTGGGCATATTATTTCATTAAAAAAGTTATATTTTTCAAAGTCCCGGACTTTGTCTATGGAAGTTCGCAGGGCTGTGGTGGGGACATCTATCAACCGAACGCGTCCCCGTACACACAGCACTGTACGCAGGGCTAGATGGCGCTTTAAATGCAAATCTCGGACTTGCTGTCTGAGAATCGACTGTGAACTGCGATGTTGGTACGATCTGCTGCCACAAACATTAGTACTAGTATCACAGCTTCAGTAAACTGACATACGAACAACTCACCTTCCATATCTCTACATACTGAATGTTATAGACATTTATTTTACTGACAGAAATGTCATGGGCGCCGCCATCTTTTGAGGTTTTGTATCCTCGTTTACAATTACAATTATGAATAAATGGTACATTTTGAACAAATATGCGGCATATAAATTTACAAGTATACAGAAAAAGATAATCTAATAATTTAATTTGTAGAAGTATCGCATCCCATTGATTGTCAATATTTTTGGCAATCTACTTATATTATTTTAGAAATTGTATTTGGTGAACGAGGTTGAAATGGTAATGACTGCGCAGGTGCAAGAATTGAGTTTGTAATTTCGTAACATCGTTTACTTTTGTCCAATATGGTGAGTATTCGACTTTGTTTTTATATTTTACTATTTTTTGACAAAGATGGTGTTTATTTCTAGCAATAACTTATTTGATTGTAATATTGTAGTTGACAAGTATACCACTTGGCTACTGAAAGTCAGACATTCATAACCACGTGTATGGTATCATGGAGCTCCATGATGGTATAGGCTGTGATTCCCGGGGGGAGGCACTGGCCTTTTAGTTTGGTAAGGGTGTCATAGACTATTTTCACCTCAAAAATCATATCCCATTATAGACCAAATAGTGATTTTGTATATTCCATCAGAGACCAAGTTTATTCAGTTATAGGTTGAATGTATTATTATAAATTGTACTCATCACCCGGACTCATCAACCTGAATGAATGATCAATATAATAGGCATAGCAAGTGCATCGCCTCAAAATTTAAATATTGTATTGTTGTATGTTGTATTTTTAAATTGAATTTTCCTGAAAAAATAAAAATTGAGCTAATAGTTTGCAATATATCAGCAACGGTTTTTGATGACGCAGTACGTGCATAAATGTTTGGGAACTGTGCATGCTCGGGTCTCTGCTTCAAAATATTTGCGTTGAGGATATTCTAGTTTTACTCTGGTGTTTCGATTTCCACAGGATTTAACCCGTTTTAGTTCGAATAAAGGTAATATAAGTCAATCGATAGTTTTTACCGATATCATGCTTGAGTGGTGTGAAGCGAATCGAAATATAATTTCTAAAATTGTGTTGTTTTCGGGAAATTTCGATGTCATGGTGTCACTTTCCTACCTTGCGTTATTATATGAGTGGTAGGCGTATGTACCGGCTACTGATTAACTATGCTGACCCTATTTTAGGTCATTTTTTATTATCCAAGAAACATTCCGAGTGCCTGTGTTGCAACCTGGAAACCCCACAAAATGGCTACCATTTGTTATGCAAATGAGATGATCTTAAAGTGTAAGTTGCAAGTGCTTGTATACAGATAAAATTTACAGAAAAAATATACATTATAAGCAGAGACGTTTTTTCCTTAAGTTTATATGACATTCGGAAAGAAATTACTTTTGAGATATTGCCGAAAACCGGCTCTTTGTGAGTCTTTTCCGAAGAATTCCGAACACGTTTCAAGACTAGGCCATCGAACTTTCAACGTGTCGTGACGTCACAAGGAGAAGTTCTTTAGTTGAAACATGGCGGAACATTCAGATGTAAGAAGCGCTGCTACCAATGATTCCGACATTTCAGATAATTCGTTAACTTTGTTTGATAAGTCTACGATCATAAGGCCGTACATGTATGAGTCGTTGGCAGAAGTCAACGTTCGGGACGATCGTAGTGCCCAACATGTCGAAGAAACCTTGAGTACTCGACTCGATAATTTAGATTGGTACGTAACAAAACCGGTGAATTCCACCGCATGCTTTGATTTCTAGATTAATCAAAATTGA